ACACGTTTCAGCAATTGGTGCAGGTCATCATGTTGCAAAAGCTTCCTTACTAAGTTCCTTCCTTGTTAAGCCAAAACGAGATTCATCCCACTTGGAGTAGGTGATAGGTCTTTAATCAACGTGTAATTAGCCTGCAAGAACTGATGGGATGTCACCGACACTTAATAATTAAAGCCACATCCTACAATACTAATAAAGTTATAGACAGAGAGATTAGAGTGACTGCTGATAGCTTTAGTGGCACTATCTGTGCCCAATATATACCAGCATTGTCTCACGTACCTGTTCGAGTGTACCTCAAGAATAACAAACATTTGTTCAATAACAAGGCAGATGTCTCAAGCCTTGAGAGCATTGCTCTCACAAACCAGCCCATATGGAATTGCTTGTTCTCCAGGCCTCAATCTGGCCACCTGTCCATGAAGGGAACCCATTCTGATGCCCACAATGTATACTGCACTGGCTTAAGCACCATGCACATCAGATTTGTTACATGAGGAAAGAGAAGGCCTGATGCTGTCAGGACTTCTAATGCATTTAAAGTGAGGAGTGATTTCAATTCCCGTTTCTCTGCACAATCTATCAGGTGTGTGATGCCTTTCGGATCAAGAGGTACCCCTTCTGGGCCTCTGTTATTGTTCCCTACTGTCAGTTAGGTCTCTAGTGCTCTTCCTTCCTTTATCAGGCTAGATCTAAACTTCCCACAATCTGTTAGTGCATCTCTCTTAACTCCCAAATGCAAATTCACCTCTCTCCTTTCGCTATCCTTTTCAGTCACAGCTGGAACCTGAGGGCTCCGCACCTCTCCCACTGTGCCCATCTCCCTTTGATCAAGCACTGATTGTTGTAGAGGCTTCTGATTGGTTGCATGCGCACTCAATCTTGTAAAAGGATGTGTGGGTCGAGTCAATGGGTCTGAACACTGTGGCAGAGAGTGGGTCCGGAGACTATCGTTATTTCTTTCTCCGTCGGGTGCAACCTGAGCAGAGGGCGCCGGCCGGACGCTACCTACTCCTTCAGGCGCAGTCAGGGTGGACAGTGCTGGCCGGACACTATCATCCCAGCGCCTGTAACTTACATCGCTTCCCTTTCTCCCTGCTGTTTTTTCTTTTACTGCCTCCTTAACTTTTGACCAATCCGTACCGAGCCTTGCCCGCAGTTCCCACCCCCCTGGGTGTTACTGCATTCCACCTCCTGAGAGGAGACAGCAAGTGTCCCATGCCAGCTCACTTCTCCTCCTGACCCCACAGGTGGTGTTAGATTACACAGAGACAGCGGTTGTCGTGGATACAGTGAGGGGGTTTCAACGACCTTGGATTCCGGCACTTTAGCCGTTTTGCAAGATAAAAGCGGAGACAGTTGAACGCTTTCTTCTACTTGTTTATGCGAAGCTGAAGCCGAGGGGGGGGCGAAGGGGGATGCCGAAGGTGCGGAGGAGATGTTAGTAGTCATAGCTGAGGGCATATTTACTGTGTTCTCTTCCTCAGGGGATCTGCAAGAAAGTACGCTCCCCGCACACGTAAGCATGATCCTGCCGAAGGGGCGCTCTCCCATTCGCATGGTTAATGCCACTGTGGGCGAGGGGCTCACTGAGGTGCGGGACCCCGATCCTGGGTAGGCGGAGCCGCATTGTCTGGCCCATTTGGTGGTCCGGGGGAGGGGCCCTGGGCCTAAGGCACCCTCCCATCCTCGTTTCCCTGCGGCACTGTGACAAACTTCCGACGTTGGCGCGCGGTGTGCCCTGGTCTCCCGCCGAAACGGGTCCCTGTCCCCTGATCTCCACAGGGAATGCCTTATAATCATCCGAAAGGTCCGCCGCTCACATCTCCACCCTTACCCGGCCCCAATCGATAAATAAAGTCCCTTTCCCCAGATTAGCTGGGAACGTGGCCGTTTGGGAGGGCGTAAGGGAGAGCAGAACGGGTGGTGGGGACAGAGCCGCAACCATCAATCGCTTGGCCCCTGAGGGCGGAGCCGCAGCCAGCAATCCCTCGGCCCCTGCCCCTACACCTCCCCGTGTAGGATCCTCCCCCTGACGAAAGCCATGCAAAGAGGGGTACCGGAGACGATACGGGGGCGGAGCCGTCGGCGATGATGGCGGCTCTTCCTCCTTCTTTTCCGATGTTGACGTTTCTGGCGTGGTCGGTGCCTCTGGCGCCATCTTGTCTTGGGGGCAGATTCTTGAAGGATTTGGAGTCTCCCGGCCGCGGTGACCCCCCCCCCCCCTCCCCCCCCCCCGCCCGGATCCAAACCCAACAGATCTCTGGCAAGGTTTTTGGCAGACTTTTCTTCCCTCGCCACCTTCAAAGCCTCCCGAATCAGACCCCAAAATTTAAGCACTGATACCCCTTGGGACGACATAGCTCTCTGAGCGAGCGCTAATGTCAAAGAGTCCCACTTGCTGGAGTCAAAAATCTCATAAGGAAAAGAGAGAAGTCCCTCCTTTTCAAGAACAGAGAGGACCGCGGCCACCTCCTTCTTAGAAGGGGCAGTTTTCCCGCAGTATGTTTTATAAGCTTGATATAGTACCTTAATGACGGATTCCATCGTTGCCCAGGGAAATCAGACCCTCCACGACCTTCCACGAGCTACCGTGGTGAGATAACTTTGCAGCGCTGCTCTTAGCCCCGGGGAATCAGCCCCTCCGGCTCTTCTGCCGCCTTACCACGGCAGGCTCCTGCGTCTGTTCGGCAGCCAGCTGTCACACTTCCACAAGTGGGACTTCCTCACACGGGGCATCATTTGTTGCCTTTGTTTTGGCAACCCTGGCTGAAGTCCCCTTGTGAAAGTGTTCCGACAGCCCCGGTCAGTTTCGCACGCTTTTCATGACACCAATATGGTGAGCGGCAAAATGGCGTTAATTGCAAGGAGCACACCCTTCTTAAAGCTTTTCCCATGCCTTAGGGCTACTGCAGTTATCTCTGACTAATGGACATGTGGCATGTCTTGTTTCCTCCTCATTTGGTCTAACCTGTTCTTCTCTGTTATCTTCAAGACATTTGTTGCCATGGTTTCCCAAGGGCCAAGGGGCCCCTGTGGACCCTGGCAACTGCCACAGCCCATTCAGTTGACTACAGGAACCACCACCACCACTTGTGGCCAGCTCCCACCCAGACACAGAACCGTCAATCACAGCCCTGTGGCTGCGACCGGCCAACCAGCTCTTAATCCGTTGAACAGTCCACTCTTCAAAACCATCCCTCTCCATTTTAGAGAGAAGGATGTGGTGAGGGACCATGTCAAAGGCTTTGCAGAACTCTAAGAGGGTGACATCCATCACCCTTCCCCCACACAGTGATTGCCGTCACTCCATCATAGAAGGCCACCAGGCTTGTCAGGCAAGGTCTGCCCTTGGTGAAGCCAAGATGCTGGCTGTCTCGGATCACCTCTTTGTCTCCTACATGTCTTAACGTGGTAACCAGGAAGATCTGCTCCATGATCCTCCCAGGCACAGGGGTGAGGCTCAGCAGCCTGGAGTTCCCCGGGTCATCCTTTCTCCCTTTCTTAAAAATGGGAGTAACGTTTCCCTTTTCCCAGTCACCGGGGATTTCGCCCGACAGCCATGATTTTTCAAATATGATTTGGAGTGGCTCAGCACCTACATCAGGCATATCCCTCAGAACCCTAGGATGGATCTCGTCTGGCCCCATGGACTTACATACATTCAGTTTCATCAGGACGTCTCGGACTCGTTCCGCTGTTACAGTGGGACGGAATCCGCTCCTCTCACCCACACCGAGAGGTTCAGGGTCCTGGCAGATGTGAGGAACCTGACCAGCCGTGAAGACTGAGGCAAAGCACTTATTGAGCACCTCAGCTGTTTCCATGTCTGAGGAAGCCACTTCCCCGTCCTCACTTATTGATGGGGGAACACACTCCTTGGTCTGTCTCCTCCTGCTTATGTATCTGTAGAATTCCGTCATGCTATTTTTCGCATCCCTTGCCAAGTTCAGCTCCACTGATGCGTTGACTTTCCCAATCCTATCTCTACACATGCAGACAGCGTTCCTGTATTCTTTCCGTGCTGCACAACCCTGCTTCCACTTCCTGTACATTTCTCTCTTCTCCATCAGTTTTAGCTGCAGGTCCTTGCTCAGCCATACTGGTCTCCCATCTCCTCTCCATTTCTTCTGCTGGGGGATGGAGAGCTCTTGCGCTGGCAGAAGGGTGTCGTTATGGAGCTGCCAGCTGCAATCTCTTCCTGTGCCCTTAAGGACAGTTTGCCAGGAGATCCCATCCAGCAGTTCCTTGAGCAGCTGGAATTTTGCTCTCCTGAAGTCCAGGGTGCTGACTGCTTTTAGCTAAGCCTGCACTCCTCCAGATCACAAACTTTTAACAGGGCATGGTCACGAATGACAGCTCAGGCTGCCTCCAATCTTAACTTCTCTAACGCTCACCTCTGCACTGGTGAGCTCCACGTCCAGCAGGGCGTCACATCGGCTTGGTCTGCCCAGTACCTGGACGAGGAAGTAATCCTCAGCAGACTCCAGGAATCTCCTGGGTTGTCTTCCACCCGCCATGCTGCTATTCGAGCAGATATCCGGGTGGTTGAAATCCCGTATCAGGACAGGAGCCCACGAGCGCAGCACCTCCTGCAGCTGAAGCTGTAGCCTCGTCAGCAGGCTCCCCCAATCGGGTGGCCTGGAGCACACTCCAACCACTAGATGCGCTTTACTGGACCGATCCCTGACTTTCACCCATAAGCTCTCGTTGTGGTTTTGTGATTTTTCTTGTTGGTATTCCACATCATAACATCATGGAAGGCAGTGGGAGTTTGAGAGTTAATGTCCTGGTTCTGCGGACTGCCTTTTTTGGGCATTTTGGTTCTCAGGGGGGAGGGGAGGAGTGGCATTCCCCAGAGGACTTCTAGCCCAGAGCAAGAAAAGTGGAGCTGCTGGCAACGACACCAGCCTCTCTCCCTCTCATGGACTGTGGGTCAGGATAGGGTCTTTGCGGGGCAAGCTCATTGCCTGGAGGAGAACATGGTAAATGTGCGGTCTCGGAGACTGCCAGGAGGTAAGCTGGTCTCCGGAGCGAGGAGGGAGAGCACTTCTGCGCCGTCGTGCACAAGCTGCCACACCCACGGCGGCAGTATGCTGTGGGTGCCGCACACATGCTACCTTTTCCTCACTGCACCTGGTGGGCAGCGATGCATTGGGACCCTCCCATAAGCTTTTCCTAAGGCGAGGGGCGTGGATGCAGTTCCACTGCCCTGGCAATTCCGACGCCGCATCAGCTGCTCTCACAAGAACTGTTGGGCTGCTCTGTGGGCTCCTCTGTTGGAGGCTTGGAGTTCCTCTGGTAATGAACTGACCAAAACCTCCCTGTACCTTGCAATCGGTTGCTGCCGTTCTGGCCGGGACGGCTCTGAAGCAGCTAACCTCGGCAGTCAAGGATTGTGTGAAGTATTAGATTGTGTAATCTTGCATTCTGATACCATGCTTGGGAAATTGACTTTCCTCCTCAGATCACTGCTGCTGTTTTGTTGTTAGGCCTATCTCCCGCCTCCCTACCCTTCCCCCCTTCTCCCCTTCTCCCGTTTCCCGGGATGTGGATCTGTGGGTCCCCCTTTCCCATCATTAGTCAGAAAAGGGCTGGACTGGCCTGCAAACTGTTGACACCCCTTTTTTTCCAGGCTGCTGGGCCTGTGGGCATGCTGTTCCCCTTCACGGACACAGGTAGATCTAAAGACAACGCCACGACAACCGTCTGGGAAGGTGCTGGGGAGAAGGCCGCCCCGCGGTCTCAGCTCCTAACACTGCCTACTGCAGGACAGAGACGAGTGAAGCCAACATGTGGGGAGTGTGTTGAAGGTGTATTTTTTTTGAAAGATGGAACCACAACCGTCACGCGGGGATGGGACGTGGGTGTTTCCACGCTGTCTTTGGGACTAGTTGTGGGGGTGTCTTCTCTAATGCTGGACCCGGGAGCGGCTTTGTGCCCGGGCTGGTCCACCGAAGGATGAAGGTGGTATGTGTGGACTCTCTTCAAGGTTTTCTTTGCCGCTTGAGACCACAGCCATCACGATGGGATGGGACACAGCTGCATCAGCGCCGTCTTCGGGGCTGGCTGTGGGGCCGTCTTCTTGGATGTTTTGCCTGGGAGCGGCTTCGTGCCCGGGCTGGTCCCCGCTGCCTGGACCGGCTCCCACGGCCTCGTCGGGGCCGGCTGCGGGAAGTGGAAGCGCGACGCCCCAGTGGGGATCGGCTTCGAGTGCGGGCCCGCCCTCGTTGCCTGGATTGTCTCCTGCGTGCAGGCAGAGGGGAATCCCTCGAGGACCTCGATGGTGCTGGTCTGGTCGAGGTGTGGGTGCCGCTCTGAGCACCTCGGGGTGTTGTACGGCTCCCACCACGTTGTCTTCGGGGCCGACTGTGGGAGCCCGAGGCCCGGCCTTGCAACGGGGAGCGGCTTCTTGTACGGCCGGTCTCCCGCTGCCTGGGACGATTTGTGGCTGCAGGTGTCTGGGATGTTCCGGAGGACCGCGTGGTCCCCCGTCTTCTGGGCCTCTGGGAGGAGGTCTCAGCGCCTGCAGCTGGTGCCCGTCTTCTCCCACCACGTCCTTGGTGCTGCTGACTTGTGTCCCGCTCCTCAGAGAGATGTGAGCGGGTGGTGGTCTGCTCAGTCTCCGGCACTCTGGGCTGGACGCTGAGCTCAGGCAGCTGGGAGTTGCAGGATGGGCTGGGAGCTGCCTGTGTAGCAGGGCCAGAGCTGCTGTCTTCAGGTCCTGCAAAGACGGGGGAAGGCACCGGTACCTCCTGGCTCGAAGTGCTGGGGCTGGCAAGCTCGGCGCTGGTGTGGGAGGCTGTAAGGAGAGACAGGAAGCTCAGCAGGATGAACATGCAGCCCCAGGGCAAGACAGGCTGCCATCCCTCATGGGGCAGAGACTGTGGCGAGCCCACCCTGAGCACCTTGCCAAGCCTTGCCGGCCCCAGTCCCACGGCACGCGGCTCTTTGCCTCTTACCAGTGCTCCTGCCAGCGCAGCCTTCGCACTCCCAGCCGTTTCTGCCGATGTCCCAGAAGGAGCAGCACCAGTGCGCGCCTTGTGAGCCGCAGGAGCTGCAGACGTACAGCTGCCAGAGCCTGGGGAAGCAAACAGGTTGTGGCTGTGAGGACAAAGTGAGCCAAGGCAGGGAGCAGCCGGCATGGCTCTGGTGCTCCGTCTTTGCTGCAAGGATAATTCCAAGCCTATGGTGAGGCTGAGATCCCACGCAGAGCCCCAGAGGACTGCGGAGGTCACTCACCCCTCCTCCCTGCCTCCTTGGTAGATGCACGGGCTGGCATCGCAGCGCGTGTAGCTTTGTCGCAGCGGCTGGTATGCTTCATCGTCCCACCAGGATGGTAGTCTGCCAGAGAAGAGTGGGAATCTGATGAGTCTCGGGTGCCCCAGGTGTGAGGCAGATTCAGGGCATCCCTGCTCACCTCCCTTGGTCTCATTCCCAGCTTCTCCAGGAAGCTGAGACCAGTGCTCGCAGGATGGCCTGCCAGGGCCAGGGGCAGTTCCTGGGCAGGCACAGCACCTGTGCCTGAGTGTCCGCGGAGCTGGGCAGAAGGACACCAACCTGATGGGGATTTGGATCCCCAGCGCGATCATTTGGGAGCGGAATCGTCTTTTTCCTCTGCAGACGGGGCAGAAGAATAGCATGGTGGCGGCGTGCAGGGCATGTTTCTGCAGGACAAGCACAAGCGTGAGCGTGAGCGGGGCTGGCTGCTGCAGAGCACCAGCCGTGCCCACAGGGCGAGGGGAGGACTCCTACCCTGATGCAGCCCCGGTGGAACCAGGCCTGTTTGCACACCGGGCACACCATGGTGTGGTAGGATGTGCTGTCCTCCACGGGCTCCAGGCAGATGACACAGACGGTGTTCTGCGATGGAGTTGCCTCCGCTGCCTGCCGAGGGCGATGCTCCCAGCAGAAGGACCTGGGTGGGAGGACAGAAGGAGTGGGCATGGTGAGAAGTGCTGTGAGGAGGGCAGAGGACCAGGAAAGAGCGCCAGGCCTGGGCTGGCTCTGGCTGTGGCAGGATGCTGGAGGTGTCGCTGCGGGTTCCTCCCTGCTGACAGCCCTCACCTGTGCTGCCCAAAGTGCTGCGTGACGCATTCCCCGTCCTCAGCGCAGGGCAGGTGGAAGCTGCGCTCACAGCCTGTGTCCGCACAGTTGATGGCAGCTCCCCTCTCGCCACAGACAAAGCAGTTCTGGAAAGAGCAGAGCAGCCCCCGTTAGCGGTGGGCTTGGGGCCTCGGCAGCCAGCCCCACTTCTCCAGGCAGGGCGCAGGGTGTGGGCACCGCTGCCTCACACTCTGCAGAGCTGCCTGGCAGACGAGGCTCGTCTGCTGTGGTGGGACTATGTCCCAGAGCCGGCTGGAAGGGCCGCGATCGCTTTCTTTGTGTCCAGGCGAAGCCGGTGCGAGCCTCTGCCGGCACCAAGCTCCCCGTTCTGTTCAGCTCCTCACCTTCTGGCCTGCCAGCTGGACCGTGTGCTGGATGGCGCCAATGGGGAAGCCAAAAATTTCCCCCGCTAGGCTTCTCCACTCCAGAAGCCCATTGGCAAAGAACTGCAGGAGAGAAAAGAGCGGGATTTCGTGAGGCCGGAAAGGAAGGGAGCATCCGTGGCAGGAGCCCTAGCCCGTGAGGGAACTCACCAAGCAGAATTCGTGGGCACAGAGCCCACCGCTGGCAAATGTCTGCCCGCAGATGTCCGGGTTCACCTGTGCCCGGCCGCACAGCACGCACACTGCAGAGGAAGGAGAGAGCAGCCGTGAGCAGCGGTGAGCACGTGGCAGGGCCGGGTGTTCCTGGGGGCCGTCGGTCCCCAGGGCCTGCTCCGAGCCTGCTGTGCCGCCGGCTGAGGGGCAGGGCTGGAGGGGGTGGAGGGGAAGAGGACACTGCAGGCCCAGCAGCTGCAGCGGGCAGCCACAGCCCGAGCCGGGGCTCTCACCTGGCTCCCCGGAGTTGGGGTCCTCGTCCTTCTTCTCAGCCATGTTTGGCATCGACAGTGAGAAACAAGAGAGTCAAGGAAGTCCGTCCTCTCTCCACGCCTCACCAGGCCAAAGTGAGCAGGGCCCGGGCCCGGCAGCCTTTGCTCTGCTCCCGGCCCCGCGGGTCACAATGGCCACCATTGTGACATCATGGTGACCACCTCACCACCAGGCTGAGGGCGCGGCAGGGCGGCGGCTCCTGTGGGCAGCGCAGGGTGAGGGGCCTGTTGCTGCCAGCAGCAGGGGGCAAGGACGGCCTCCCTCAGGCCTTTTGCACCGCGCTCGTGCTGGGATGTCGCAGCACAGAGTCTAATAAAGGGCTGCGGGTCGACTGCACAGCTGGCATTTCTTGCGTGTGCGTGTGCTGTGTGCTGGCCGACTTTCCACGGCCTGCTGGTGAAGGGGCAAGGTGTTGACCTGTGAAAAGAGGAGGTCTGGTGACCTGCGAGAGGGAATTCCTCACTCGGAGGGCGGTGAGGCCCTGGCGCAGCTGCGCAGGGAAGCTGTGGGTGCAGGCGCTCCAGGCCTTGTTGGACAGGGCCCTCTTCTAAGCTGACCTGCTGGGTGGCTCAGGTCCCACGGCAGGCACCTGGGGCTGGGTGGGCTGTACGATCCTTTCGTGTCCAAGTCTTCACACATCAAAGCTTCAGGCCTCATACAATTCCCAGAGGCGAAGTGGCACGGGCTGGGCACGATTCCCTTCAAGACTGTGTATAAAATGAGTCAGGAAAACTTCTGAGGTTTGCTTTCTTTGGCCTGCTGGCAATGGTCACCATGCCAGAGACAGGAGAGGAGGTGTGCCTTGCCCAGGGCTGCAGTCCTGGAGTCACACTGGAGCATCCCCGCTCATCCAGCCTGACCATGAATGTCAGCTTCTGCATGAAAGTCAGGCCAACGCTGATGGGAGAGCTGCCCTCTCTAGGGCGAGATGTTCAAGGTCTCATGGACAGGGCTCCAGGCAGCCTGATCTAGTAGGTGGCAACCAACACACTGCAGGAGTTTGGAACTTGATAGACTTTAATGTCCCTTCCAACCCAAGGC